CATACCTTGCTGACATCATACCGTGGTATACGGTATATGACGGTATGACTTGGGTCGACTTGAGTGAGGTGGCGTTCGGCGGCAAATAGATGTTTCGAACGGTATATTATATGTTCGGTGTAAAATGCAGCCCGAGCCGGTAGACGCTCGCAAAGTGCCGCGACGTGCGCGCAAGTGCAAAACAAGGGCTGCATACATGACACATTGTGCAAATGGCACATTTTGAGATCGGATACAGGACGCGTTTGTAGATGTCCGACGTTGTTTCCATAGTGAGCTAAGTTAACAATATATCATCATACATAAACATTTTCCGGGAGTAAATACCGTAATTTTCGGACTACAAGCCGCACCTGAATATAAGCCGCAGCAGCGGCATACCACTCTCGGTTCCACTTTTACTTTTGCGCGCTACCTGTCTCACTCTTTTCCGGCCTCCAGCTTTTCCTGCTGGAACCCGCCGCTTAAAGGTGGGGGTCCGCGGACCGGCCATAGAGCCCATAGAGTTAAAGGTGTTGGCCGTTAGCTGTAAAAATCCATAGATTAGCCGCACCGTTATATAAACCGCAGCGTCGAAAAATAGGGAAAAAGGCGCGGCTTATAGTCCGAAAATTAAGGTAAATGTTAAAATAAGTTACTACTCCTTCCTGTTTCCTCACCTCCTCCTGTTTGTCCTCCTGTTTGTCCTCCTCCTGTTTGTCCTCCTGTTTCTCCTCCTCCTCCTGTTTCTCCTCCTCCTGTTTCTCCTCCTCCTCCTCCTCCTGTTTCTCCTCCATCACCGTCTCTTCCTCTTCCTCCTCCTTCTCCTCCTCATCCTCATTCTCCTTCTCCTCCTCCCCCTCCATGACTCCTGAAACCTCCTCCTCCTCTTCTCCTGCCGCCGGCTGCTCCTCCTCAGCCTCCTCAGCCTTCGGTTCCTCCTCCTTCCTCCTCTCCTCCCGACTCCTGGATCTGGACCTGGAGGAAGAGGAGGCGGTCCTGGGGGGGTTTGAGGCGGTCCTGGGGGGGTTTGAGGCGGTCCTGGGGGCGTTCGAGGAGGTTCTGGAGGCGTTCGAGGAGGTCCTGGAGGCGTTTGGTCCTCCGGTCCTCGGGCCTCGAGCGCCTCCAAGTTTCTTGTTCACACTGGAAACAGAAACGTGCCTCAGATGAGATATTCATACTTTAAAATAAATACAAACAAAATGTGTTGTCTTGTGACTCACTTGAGGGTCTTGTACTTGGTGCAGATGTTGAGGCGGATGGGTCGGCCCTTGATGGTGAGAGAGTGAACGTTGTAATATTTCACCAGCATCTCCGCGTCCTCCGGAGTCCCCAGCTGCACAAACGCCTGCAAACACACAGAAACATTGTACATAGACTCTCCTTGCACTATTTCATCTGAGCTATTGTGTTGCTCTGTCGGAGGAGCCTAAGATTTTCATTTGTACATATCTACACTGTAGCTATGTGGGGGGGGGGGGGGGGGGTCACTTGTCTAACCTGTTTAGCCCTGAGCCTGTTTTTCAGGTCTCAGGCTCCAAAATGACATTCCCAGAACAAATGACCATATCTTCCCTTCTAAAAGGGTTACATTAATAATCTGTGTTCTCAAAGTAATGATAAACCTGTGAGTTGGATGTAGAAGAGTCAGAATCAATAAAGATGTTTTTAATTTTAAAATAAATTCAGATTGAACATAGTAAAAAAATGTAAATTATTGTGTCCGTCGAAAAATAAACCATTATAGTGAAAACCACCCTTTGATGATGGTAGACTGAAAGCTTTAGGAATCCAAACTATAACATGATAAGTACCCTGTATCTCCGTTTTTGACATAAAAATGGAATTATGGATTATCAATAATTTGTTCAAAGTGACAGACACATTGGATTAACCTCTGGATTAACCTTCGGCTGCGTTTCTCGTTTTAATGCCATTGAAGACGACGTTTGATCAGAATAACAGCTCACGGTGAGCAGGTCTCCGTGTTGTGCTACCTAAAGCTACGTCGCTCAGTGATGATACTTATAATTCTAGAATCTGCTGAATCTCAGCTTGTTAGCTAAGCTTGTTTGTGCAGATAAGGGGCTTAACAGGTTAGAATGGTATGCTAAAGTAATGCTCATATCATTACCTGGTCTGTGAGGAACAGGTGTTTCTCCACCTCTCCGAATCGAGCCGCGATGGTAAGCAGCTCCTTCTTATCCTCCTCGTCTCTGGGCATGTTGTTGAAGAAGACCACCTGACTCTCCTGACCTTTGACCTGCCTCACAGGCCGGTCCATTGGAGGATCCATCGGTCGATCCATCTGACGATCCATCGAACGAACCATCGGTCGATCCATCTGACGATCCATCGAACGAACCATCGGACGATCCATCTGACGATCCATCGGACGATCCATTGGACGATCCATCGAAAGATCCATCGACCGGTCTGAACCTCGGTTGTTTTTCTGAGGGTCAAACATATCATGGAAATGTCATAAGTCAATATATATAGGTTTATCTTGTTATAATCACGTTTTTTCGAAAAAACTAAACGTAATATCCCACTACAAAAACAAACGCAAATATTAAATTTTAAACAGTCAAGTCCTTTCAAGTCATCTGTCTCAAGCTTAAATCAAGTCTCAAGTCATGAATACCAAGTCAAAGTCAAGTCAAGTCTTTTATCAATGTTAGTCAAGCAAGTCTCAAGTCAAAAAATATGCGACTGGAGTCAAGTCATGTGACCCGAGTCCCCACCTCTGGTGAATACATCACTGGAGGATTTAAAAACAGAGGCTGCTCTTGTTGTTCTTGTTCTTTATTGGGTGACCTAGGTGAAGGACGACAAACCACCTCCCATATTCTTTCTTGTTACTCTTTTTCGCAGATTCTACGATTTTACTTTTTTTCTCTCAATTTCATTTTTTTTTCAAATTGACTTTTTTGTCACAATATGACGTTCGAATGCCAATAGGCCCTTCTCTCCAACTCCCTGCACTACATGGACCATAACTGGATCCCACAATGTAAAGAATAGTTTACCTGAACTTACTGAAGGCTGCCTTTTCGTTTTACCTTGACTCTTTTAATTGCACAGTGTGTGAGGCCTAGTTTCTAACCTAGTTCCTTTATTACCACTATTACATGGTTAAACTATATTTCATGCAATATGTCCAACTACAGCAGCAGCGTTGAAAGTGTGTGCAGGTACCTCGATGACCTGCAGTCTGCGGGACAGGTAGAAGGTGATGGGCTTCCCGTAGAGATTGGCCTGGTGCTGCTGGTAGTAGTTCACCATGTCCAGAGCCTCCTCGTGGCTGTGCAGCTCCAGGAAGGCCTGCAGGAGACAACGTGAGAACAGACCTCCAGATGGTGCATGCTCTCTGGTGCAAGGAAAGGTGTTCAGTCCGACTGAAGCATCCTCTGTGCTCCACTCAGTCCTCTCAGTAATACAGAGCTGAATCCAGATCAGATGCACGCTGAAGTCTCTTTGAGCATCTCTCACTGATCCTGCTGTTATGTTCCATGTTTGTTTCTCATGTATTGTGTGTTAATGTTTGTCTGTTGATGTTACACATGGAGCTGCTGTGATGCAAGGAGCATTCAGACTGCGATCGGACGCAGTAAAGTCAGTGATGCAAACACAGGTATGGTGAAAAAAGAGAGAACTATTCGAAGCAGGAAAGAAACAGCGTAATATACCATCTGACAAAGGCCTGTGCTATAATGCTTCAATGAACTGTTCTTTATAATATACTCAGATCAATAGAGACAGAGATGTTAAGTTATAAATCAAGGGGTTTTATTATTATTTACAGCGGGGGGGGGGTAACCTTTTTCCTTTACATTTTCACAACATCCTCCGAGGGCCGTACAAATGATTGAACTCAACCTCTGCTTAAAAAAACTAAAATCACAGCCAATTCATTTTGCCTTTCTTTCATGCTGTGCAAAGAACAAGCAACCTCTGAATCCAGGTATCTTGCCATATCCATATATCTGTGCACAGTGTGGCATGACCACCAAAACAGAAAGATATGGACACAAGATGTGTGCAAATGTGTTTAGTATCCATTTGAACATGATTTAAGTGGGGGGGACCTAACCCCCTCTAGGGGAAGATTTGTTTTTAAATATTGAAGTTAAAGCATCATTCTGGTGCACTTTGAGAGCAACATGAGGAGATCTATGGATACATCTTTCAACACCCATTTGAAACAGAACTGGAAGCAGATTTTTCACAAATCACTCCCCTTTCAAACTCTATTCTTGTTATTTTTAACAACTTTTTTGTTACTGTCATATAGTATTTTATACCTGTT